TGTTCGTACGAACCCTTTGTACGAACAAAAGTAAGAGAAATTTAGGAGAAGAATACCAACATGAACTTACATGAGGCCAATTGTTCTTACCTGAGTCATATATTATTTATTTATTCACAGTTATTTCATAAAGTTTTACTTTCTAATCTTTAAGTGTTTGCATTGATATATGAAGAAAAACAAATGTAGATTTGGTTATAAATTCCTTCAATGAAAGATTCTGTAGGAAACCAAGCTGTGAGTTTATCCATCATTGCATAAAAGCCACTCCAGGTGTGGAGGCTCTCAAAGGATACATCTGGATTTATTTTAATCAATAACTACTATATCTGTAAACCTGAGTGTGAGAGGCTGTAAGAAAAATGTGATCAGAATTGTGAGTCAAAATACGCTTGCAGAAAACAAGCTGATTCTCTTCTAAAAAGGGCTCTTGGCCTTGTCTTCTCGTCATCATTTTAGGACACCTAAACATGAACATATGTGCACTAAAACATACCAAGTCATGGGGCCAGACGCCAGCTTTCCTACTGTGGACGATTGAACTCCATACTCGCCTTGTGAGCCAAGATGCAMGCAAAAAACATACTTAATTAATTTGAACTTTGGCCTAGATATGAAGGAGAGGAGGGGAGATATAGGGAGGGGTAGTGGTGGTGTTGAGACATTTAGCAACTGTCAGAGTGGCAAGTCCAACTACAGGTCACCAAGAGGTGGAYGTAAGCATCAGGGTCAATCCCTGGAAGGACATATTATTGACATATCAAAAGATGGTGCCCTTGTGTAACCCAAGTCAAACATGTCATTTGAAAGACCAAGAAGGATGGTCTGGGTGTCTTAGGAACCCTACCCCATCCTCTAGGGTAAGGCCTTATTAGACCAAGGGAATATGGGTAATATGACCTCACACATGTGTATTAGGGCTTCCGAGATGCGCGTACCTGGAATCTGGGATTTCTGGGACTTTTCTGTCAGAAGGTGTAGACTTCTGAATTTTTACTTTAATAATTTGAACTTYAGCCTAGATATGAAAAGGAGGTGGGAGAAGTAAAAGTGGGCAGTGAAATTCAGCCTTTTGGCTAAATCTCTCCCAATTTGGAACAATCAGAACATATGGCACAAACCCATGGAGGATTCTTATTGGTTGGTTGAATGAAGGGGGCTTATGGGTAATGTTGTTTTTACCTCACAGGAATGTTCTGGACATCGAGGAAACTTAAGTGGGAATGTGGGTAGCAAAATCCATCCCACTCAAGAACATTTCAAACATAGGGTAAAACAAACAGTGATTGTGYGTAACAGTTTTTTCTACTTGGGAACATTCTGGACATTGGGGAATCCAAATGGTGATGGTGGGTAATGTAGTTTTTCTGAATTTCAGGTACCTTTTGGGAACATTCTGGATATTGGGGAAGCCAAATGTGGATTTATGCATCCAGGTTGGATTTAGAGCCTAATACAAGCCACAGCACATGGATGAGAAGCCAGCAGCCTCGGTCAGGTCTACACTAGTCCATCCTGGGTGACCTTGGTAACAAAAGTAGCCTGGAAATGCCACTCTGTCCTTCATCTGCAAGGGGGTGAAACTGAGGCATCCAGAGTGGACTTAGAGCAAAAACTCACCARGAGTGGGCCTGTCAACAGTAAAGGCTTGCAGGTTGAGCCTCTTAATGACCCTGGCCCCTGGTGCCATTCTTGCACTAAGTTCAACCTGTGCTCACCAGTCAATGGTTTACTGCTGTTGCAGGTAGGTTTGACTTTGTAGCCTGCTAAAATGTTACAATTAAGTATTTTAGGACATTAGGCACCCTTTACAAAAGGAAGGTGTGATTGTGAAATGTCTCTTTCCATGCTTAAACATCAGCTCCTCATGGTGCTGGTTGACCCTGAAGTAATTTGTGCCAAATGTCCTTTTCTTTGTCCTTGGTTACTATGCACTAAATCAGAGGTGGGCAATCCTGGTCCTCAAGGGCTGCAGTCCTGCATGTTTAATTTTCCCAAGCTCCAACACGGTCACTAAATTACCTCTTCCAAGTTCTGCAGAACCCTGAAAGTCACCCATTCATTTAAACAAGGTGTGTTGGAAGAGAGATACATATAAAACATGCAGGGCTGCAGCCCTCAATGACCACCTCTACACTCAGTCCAACCTGGGCTCACCAGTCAACCCCTTACTGATGGCATCAGGCGCTCATGGTGCGGGTTGAGCCCCATTTTAATGTGTGCCAAAAGTCTGAGAATCCTTTTTGGGACATAAGGTACACATTATATTGTGAAACTTAGGTTTTCAAAGGGAAGCCAACCTCCTAACCTGTGCTCACCAATAACCTCTTACTGGTGGCATCTGGTGCTCATGGTGCTGGTTGACCCTTGTAGTGATAAGAGGTGGATAAGAGGCCAGCAGCCTCAGTCAGGTCTACACTAGTCCATCCTGGGTGGCCTTAGTAACAAAAGCAGCCTGGAAATGCCACCCCATCCTTCATCAGCAATGGGGTGAGACTGAGTCTGGGTAATATAGAAATAGAATAGAAATATTTAGACACAAACTTGATGAGTTTCTGTTGTAATACTTTAAGTTCTTTATTATTCATTTTAATTTTTATTACTAAATATTTTAGTGTGAAAGAGACAACAGGTTTTATTATCATAATGTTTAGTTGCCAGGGTTTATTAGAACTTTATTCTGATTTGGTCTTTATCAGGATCTTAAGGCCCTGTCACATTAGACAACTTATGCTAACTTATGAAACGTTTTTTATGTCTAAATTGCTAATAAAAGTTATATATTTGATCTATTTGTTCAAATTACATTATGTACACACCAAAAGGGAGCTTCCTGATGATTTTTTTCAATTCCATCTTCAATGTAGATGTCATTAAAATGTTCATAATTTGGCATAAGTTGTCTAGTGTGGCAGGGCCTTAAAAAATTCAACCACACTTCTGTCACAGTTTTTAGATTTTGTTTCAGTTTTTCTACAGCTGCAGTTTTGAAAAACATGTTATACTGAGTTCAGCAGAAGATGGTTCTGATCTTGTCTTCAAACCCGACTGTCAGGTTTGACCTGAGCTGCAGAGAATTTATACAGAATTTATATGTTTATACATATAATTTAGCGAAACAGAACAAATAAGTCTGACAAACAGATAGTTTTTACTAAATTAAATATTCAGTCTTCATTTTTATTGCAGAACCAGAAAACTCAGACCCTCTGATGTCTGTAATATTGGAAATTCATTAAATTAAATAATCAGATATTTTTATTCCGTCAATAAGTTTGGATTATTACACAT